GGACACACACACACACACACATGCATACTGAAAGTCTCTGCCTGCCCGCTGTTTCAACATCTCTGCTGTGTAAATCTTGTCTTCTCACTCAACAGTGAAATGGTCAAAAAGACAAACGTCACACCCAGAAAGCAGTTAGGTGTTTAAATCAACATTCTTACATATTTTCCTATAACTCAATATTAAGAATTGATTGAGAGAAGTAATCTAGGCACAACAAATACTGTATTGACAGTTTTTGTATAAATGATAGAGATTTAACAGGGCAGAAGACATATCCCTGACTGGAACTGAACGAGACAAGAAAAGGGAGAGGCTTTCCTCACACAGCTTCCGTCCCATTTTTAAAAGTTTATGTACTTTTATATATTGTGCAGTGAAGTTTCATGACATTTTCTTATGAATGCATTAATAAAACTAATAAAAAAACCTTTCTACTAATAGGCTGAATTCTTGGGTTTTCTATTGCATTTAAACACCATGAGGTGCACATTTGGAAAATCATTTCTCAAAATAGAGGGGTTGATTTATATTATACATAATCATAAAATAAATGCCATATTTAAAATTAAACTTATCAGAATGACATTGTAAATGGATTTAATAATTATTTTGTGAATGTTGAGCCATTGGATTAGTTTATTGATAAACAAAATATTTTAAGTAGCAGTCAGTATGGGTTTAGAGCTAACAATTCCACATCAATGACACTCATGGACTTAATAGAGCAAAAACAACAGCTGTTGATCAGAAACAGTACTGTGCTAGTGTTTATGTTGACTTGAATAAAGCTTTTGACACCAATGACCACACCATTCTATTTGAAAAATTGAACAAATATAGTATTAGAGGACCAGCACTACAGTGGGTGTCTAGTTCTTTAAAGGATAGGAAACAGTTTGTACAAATTAATGATACAAGATCTGAATTAAGTAGTATTACATGTGGGGTTCCTCAGGGTTCTGTATTGGACAGAAGTTGTTTATTTTATACGTAAATGATCTGGTAAATGTGTCAGGGTTGTTCAAATGTGTTTTATTTTCAGACGACACTACATTTTTTTGTTTTGGTAAAAACAACAGATGTTGGAAATGATGCAGATAGAATTAGCTAAAATACAAACCTGGTTTAAACTTAATAAATTATAATTAAATTTAGATAAGACTAATTATTTGATATTTAGTAATAGAAAGAAAACAACTGATGTTCCATTTAGAATTGATGGTATTGAGATCTGTAGAGTCAGTGAGGTGAAGTTTTTGGGAGTCATCATAGATGAAAAGCTGACATGTAGACTTTATATAGATCATTTAAGAACAAAAATAGCCAAGTTCATTGCAGTATTATACAAAGTAAAGGATTTTTTTTAATGATAAAGATCTGTTTATATTATATAATGCAATAATTGTTCCACACTTGATCTACTGTATTGATGTTTGGGGGAAAATCATGCAAAACAATAACAAACCCAATTTTTGTTTTACAAAAAAGAGCTGTAATAATTATCACCAGAAAGCATTATTATTACCCATCAAATTCATTTTTCTATTAGTTGAAGTTATTGAAATTTAATGATTTGGTTGATTATGGTATGTGTCATGTATAGGGCTCATAAAAACATATTACCTTCAAACATTCAATGAGAGAGTTGTTATAATCTCAAGGGGATAGAGATGTCTGTTAAACCCAAATTTAGAGCCAGCTTAAAGGAACGGAGTACTTCAGCCCAGCATATAAGATTATAAAGATGACATTAAAATTGCCAGATCAGTGAATTTATTTAAGAGAACGATAAAGATTAAATTGCTGGAGAAATATGTAAATGTATGAATTGTTGTTCAAGGAGTTAAACCTTTGTTATTATAATTTTTTGTAAACTAAAGATTATTTTTGATTGAATGGAGAAAAATTTATTTATTTTAAAAAAGGGGCAGATATAAGATTTTTTTCTTCTGCGACCTTTCATTTAATTTATGATTTGTATTTTTGTTGTTTGTTGAATTTATGTTGTTGTTTTTAAAGAAATTAATAAACTAACTGAAAAAATGCACCTACTCCATAAAAAGCTAAACTTGATTTTTTTCTAACCTCAGCAGATTAATTTTAGCACTAATCAGATTATTTTTATAGTTGTAGTACCAGATTCTGCCGCACAGCGAGAAGGGGCGCTGCAGGCGGTATTTCTTGTTTCAGTGCGAGATTTAAAACAACTGAAAAAATCCATTTAACACRAGGATGTATAACTCCGACTTTTGTTTGTAGGTATTTGTGTCACTTTAGAGCACCTTTCCCGGACGTGACAACAACACAAGTAACCAACTATTAAAACCTTTTATCGGTTAAAACACGCGCAACAAAAATGGGCAAACGTAATAAGGTGAGTAAGCCAACAAAAGTGCGTTTAATTAATAAATTAGCTAAGGAAGGCTTTACCTGTACACAGAAATGTGGCACAGCTACAATTCTTGTGATTATATCTCTATTACGTTTTATTATTCGAATTGATTTATTGTTTGCTAGCTTTGTTAAGGAGGGAGTGTTCAAGAAGTTGAACGAGTGGAAAACGTGCGCTCGCTTGTTCTGTGAATGAGTGAGCGCTCTTGTCGGAACATAGACGATCTTGTGGCTTCTGGTTTCTGACAGGAGAAGGGGGGAGCAGGTGGGGAGGAGAGCGGATGGATCGGTGGACCACAGTTTGCTGTTGCAGCGGCTGAGATAGGAGGAGGAGGAGGAGGGGGTTAGGGGGGACGGACGGACACACCAGCCGGGCACAGTCCCTCCAACAAACACCTTCACCTCATCATTTCCAGCAGCATCACTGACAGGAACAACGAATCTCAGAAAACGGTGAGCGTGAACATCCTTTTTTTTCACCCTCCTTTCTTTGAAGATGTCTGCTCTTCCTCTTTATTATAATGGGAATATTGCTGCAGTGAAAATTTCTACCAGGTGTCCTTTGTTTTGCTGCATTTTAATAATCATGATCTATAATGATCAGGTGTACATGACAGGTGTACAAAAATGGACGCGGATTGTCGTTTTTTTYCTTCTTTTTTCTCTTTTTTAATCTGGATGAAAGATGGTTGCAGGCTGTTCATTCTCTGTGCTGCACGCGCTGCATCTTGAGGAGCCACCATCAAAGCCAGCAGAAGGAGGCAGAGCAGCAGTGTGCTGTACTGAATGGATTTTTTTTCTCCCCCCTTCCTTCCTCGGTGCAGCAGGTTTTGTTCTGCCGGATGGTGGCAGACAGACAGGCCTTTTTGTGAGTGATGTTGCCGGCTGGAGCTCCCCACCTCTGAGGATGTCATTTCAAGTGTTTCCCCTTCAGAGAAACTCATTAAAGCCAACATGCATTTGCTCTCATCAAATTTGCAGCTATTATAGATGCGCAGATCTATCAATGTCCTCACAAAAGACTCAAGCTTTCATTAAACATTTTTTGTATTTTTCAGCTGAAAATAAATGAAAATTTATTTTACATGTGGTATAATTTGGTAGAAAAAAGAAGAAATGTGATTTACTTACATTCTAGGGCCTGGTTCATCATGTTCTTATTAGAGGAAGCCTTATTCTAAGGGTTTAGCTGACAAATAGAGCAAACTTACAGGCGTCAGAATGCACAGGTTGCGGTGGAAAAAAAGTAAAAATATAAATAATTTTCCCCCCATAAATTATATTTTTAAACACACTGTCTAGTGATACCAGTAACTAAAACAGTAAATAATATTTGTAATTTACCTTTAATTTGAAGGTTTCTATCAGGTATGTCTCATGCAATAATCTTTTTAATTCTAATCCCATAAGTTTCATGAACTCGGGCAGAGCTTTGGTGCATTCTTCTCAGCCGTCTCCTTCTTACTCCTTGAGGAAAAAATTGTTTTAGAACATTTTATTTCACTTTTTGCCCACAGGTTCTGTTATCACAATTTATTTTCCTAAATCCCATTTGAACAACCAACTTTTGGCCAGGTTTGTGCTGCGTTTTGGCACTCAGGTCATCACGACTGCTTCTGCTGATCTCTGATCCGTCAGCTCTGAGCCATCGCTCACAGCAGATGTGGTGTCACCATCTCTGCTTCTCCTCTTCTGTTCGTCTGGGCCTCATTAGGCGAGAAGCCGGTTGAGGGGGTTGATGCATTTTACGTGGATGCAATTTTAAGACGTGGATGATTGATGATTTTTGTTAGCATTTAGCTACTGTTCTGCTTTTTACCAGCTGTTAAGCTCGCTTTAGCTTCACCAAATCAGCTYAGCTTCAGCAAAATTGAGCAAACTGATTCAGAAAATGTGACTTCTTTAGGATTTTTGCTCACGTTGCTGAAACTGTTGGAGCTGCAKCCAAACGAACACAATTAGCATCAAACATCCTTGGGGTTAATAGCACCCTGCAGCGATGATGGGGCGTTTGGTGGTCAAGAGAAGGGGTGTGTGTGTGTGTTTGTGGGGCGGGGGTAAACAGTCTCAATTTGCCCTCTGGCTCGCAGCTGAACAGTTTTCATTACATGATTATTTGGTGTGCGTTAAAAACGAACACGATGAGGCGAAAATTGATGAGCTGGATAACACCGATGAATATTAGTAAGAGCAGATGCTGTTGTTCCTGTCTTCCCTTCAAGACAGATGGTTTTTAATCGTATTTTTTTTTTTCAATGGTTGTGGTTGTTTTGGATGGAGAATGGGAACTCTTACATTGCGCCACAAGGACTCCGGTAAATCATGCTGTGTGAGTTTTTGAATTAAGCAAAACTGTAACTCATCCTGGTGCTTTGCTGCCTCAGTAGGTCTTGTTTTTATAATCGACTCACAAGATGAGTGCTTTAAGACGGGAAATGAAAGAATAAACAAAAACGGAGAGAACTGCTGAAATGTATATTTTTGCAAAAGCTGCAATGTGTGTTAAAAAGTCAATAAGGTTACTTATTATTAGATTTTAACTCTTTTTACCCATTTTGTTTGCATAGAGCGCCAGCAAGAGTTGTTTGTGTAGATCAGGTGGGCAGATGGGAGGGTGGCGGGGTAGAGCTGAAGACTTGCCAGACTGGTAGAAGCTGTCACTTGCGAAGTGTGAAAACATGTCAGCATGTCTGGCGAAATGACTGATTTGGTGTTATTATGCTGAAACATATACAGGAGAATATTCTCTGCWTCTGCTAAAAATCTATTTTRGCTTGCTTGGTTCTGATTGTACCAAAGCAAATAKAATCTTTACAGTATGGACCTTGTTCCCAAAGAAATGATATTTTTTATATAAGGGAAAAGTTGTCAGTATTCCCATATACACACATTGTAATTCTTTGAGCTCATTCTTAAAGGAAACAAAAGAATCATGTTTAAATCTCAGGGATGGGAGCTTAATTCATTGTGCATCARGCTTACAAAGTGATATAAACCTCATCCTCCAGAATCTTTGTCACAGCTTTAAAATGATTAGTGAGGATTTGGGTCACAGGAACCTCTTTTAGGCAGCATCACATGACGGCTGGGAACCAACCACAAAGATTATTAAAGATGTTTTTAACAGGATTAAATGTAACCTGTTAGTTTTTATAGTGGGAATGAAAAAAAAAACTTCAGATGATTTCTACAGATTATGTGTTGCTTCTTAAAGATGTGATTCTTGTCTCGTTTATTGTCGACCATCTGCTAATCGTCAGTATAACGGCACGCAGAAGGGAAACTGCACTTTTAAGTTTAATTGGGCGTTTGTTTCCTCCGTCCTCCTCGTTTGACCCCAGAAAGAAGGCTGTTAAAAAGCCATCTTGTCTTCCTTGGCTTGAACTGAAAGAATGCCTTTGTAGGAGGGAACAGGCCGTGCAGACAGCAGATGAGGAGAACGAARACCAGAAGCGGTTCTCAGGGTGGAGGAGCCATCCATCAGCCTAAAATGAGTCTGTTTACTGATAAACTAATTAAAGACTGTTCCTGATGTTGGTGACTGCCTCAGACAGGAAGTGTCCAATCCAGTCCTCATGGGCCGCCATGCTGTATGTTGTAGAGATTTCTCTGCCACAACACAACTGATTTGAAAGAATGAATGATGAACAGGCTTCTGTAGAACTTGAAGAGATGATTCAGTTGATGAATCAGGTGTGTTGGAGCAGAGAAACGAGTAAAATCTGCAGGATAGAAAACGTCTGTCTACAACAATCCATGGTCTGCAGTTAATAAGGATGCAACATAGCACCTACCAAGATGGTGGCACAACATAGGCTTCACTTGACCATTCTCTTCCTATTTCAATTGCCTATATGCCACGGACATYCGGCCCAGCATTGGATGCCACTCTCAACACTTCCGGTTCACGGTCAACACAGTGTTAGCGAAAGATTTATTCACCTGACAACGACTCTTAATGATCTCCACAGTACAGAATTAACATATTACATGTACCAACATTAACACAGGAGACATACAGGTTCAGCCAAGTGGAAAAAAAATCACTCCAAAGTGGATTAAAGCTATAAAAACAAAGGAAAGACATTCCTGTTTATGGTTCCAGAATTTAGCCCTTTTCACTATTCCGTGGCTGCTTGTTCCGTGAATTTTTCACTTAGAGCTGTGACACTTATATTTTTTGAAACAGCAGAGTCTGGGCTTTGGTTTGGATCATTTTCCCCGACKTTATTGAACTGAAAACGTAATGATTATCAGGCGRAGGTTCTGCTGCTCTAGGTGCTCGTGGGGAAGGTGGGGCGCTCGCCACTCTTTAGTCTACGCTGTAATATACACTCTAACAAGTTTTTACTTTTGCATAAAACTCATGACAAAGTTGCATAAAAACATTTCATATAACACAAACGCGTGCACACACACACATCTACCTTTGTACCGGTTGCTGTGTTAGCTTCCTGCTAGCTGTCGTGTGGAGGTGGTCTTTCCTCTCCCGGTCTTGGCAGTAAAAGGGGATAAATGTACATTTCCCTTTTGTCACCTCCGTCTTCTCATTTCTGATGCTGACTCTTAAATATCCTCAGGTTAGAAATGCTGATTACAAACGCAAGCGTGAGCTTTTAAAGATAAGTTTTCCTTCTAATGCTATGATCCACTGCTGTCACCTCCTCATCTAGAGGAAAATGGAGAAAAACCAACTACTCGATCGTACCTGCTGCTTAGTGGACACAACGGCACACAACAGAACTCATTTTATACCAGTAGCTCACAGATTCTTCAACTTTTGTGACTTTTTCACAGACTAGTACTAGCAGCTAACGGTAAAAACATAGGCAGTAAGCAGGGAGTGGAAGGGAGGAGCGTGGCAAGAATTTTACCRGAAATATGTCATTAATGACCGTGGCATATAGGCTATTAACTTAGAATATAACAGCCAATGATTGACTGACTTTCATGCAGCTCTATTTGTGATGTTAAAMGTTTTCTCCCTGGCATCTTTGAAAATGTGAGGCACAACCAAATGACTGTAGTTGTAGTCTTTGCTTATGAGCTTTAAGGATGCTGTAGCTGTAAACTGAGCTGACCTGTTGATGACCAAGCTGTAGGATATATGACTTACTGTAGAAAGGAATCATTTCATTAGTCATTACTCTGACTCAGCATTATTTGAGGCTTCTGGATGTCCTCCCTGCATCAGTGGCGTTTCCTGTCAGTGATGTCACACTCTGCCACTCTATCTGTTGTGTCATCTCTGTCGTTCTAACCTTGAAACTGCTGAAATGTTRTTKTTYTTTTCTTTTCATTTTTTTGAGTGGCTGCCWGACTCCATTGTCCAATCAGAGCCATGTTGTGTTAGTCACCTTGACTTTTGGCTACYTGACATAATGCATCCCTGCTTGCTGTCTTAGCACTTTAGTTTATTGCAATTAGACACCAAATGTGAGTCTGTGCAACCA